ACATCTATGCTATATACACCTGTATGTCCCTGGCTTGGATGAATCCAGTCATCCTCCCTCCCTGCCTTTGTTCAGGGCCACTGCGTCTCGGAGGACCAGTCTGCCTGAACGCCGACGCTCGCAACAAATATCCACAGGGGACAGTATATCATCCTATATAAACAGGCTAATGGTGTGCGCTTTGCCTCTGTTGCTCTCGCTCCTGCATTCTCTGACACTTTTCTGGGCTTTAGCTTGAAAGGTACTTCAGCACTTCCCTATACGTACCCGGTGTCAAGCCTTCAAAAGGGAATCAAGAATATCTTGACTTGAAGACCGCATTCGGGAAACATGATACATGTAGACGCCATTACTCAAAATGGCACCTCGTCAGAATTATCTTCTTCCTTGATCTTTTCGGGCTTGCAAAATCTCCGGCAACTGGCTTTGCCGCTACATATCACTACAGTCTTAACACTCTTTTCAGCAGTTTGGATAGGGTACCACTTTTTCTTTCACCCACTACGGAACGTCCCTGCACCCTTCAGCGTCAAGCTTGGACTTGGGCACTTCAGAGCATGGCATGCCTGGAAGCGAGATTACGTGAGGCTCGCTACATCTCACAAGTCCAGAAGTATGCTCCGACTAATAGAACCACGTTTTCCTTATGCCCAGGTATGGGCACTCTCAGACTTGCACGAACGCTACGGTCCGACCGTCCGCATCTCGCCATGGCACATCAGCACCATCAGTCAGGAAGCTGTCTCCCAAATCTACGCCCATGGCTCCAAGTTCCACAAATCCTCTTTTTACACAGCATTTGAAGCTATACCAGGCCAGCCGAGCCTGTTCAGCGATATCGATCCGCACTCGCATGTAGAACGGCGGCGCAGCATTGCCAGTGCTTATAGCATGAATCATTTGCTCAGCCTTGAGGAATACGTCAGGCCCTGCGTAGACAAGCTCGTCGAAAAGATCAATAGCATTATTTCCAAACATTCCAAATTTAATGCCAGCGCGAATACCACTCCGAGCGGCCGGATCCAAATCGATAAATGGGCTCACTTCTTTGCATTTGACGCAGTTGGCGAGCTAGCTTTTGGACAGTCCTTCAACCTCCTCGAGCACGCTTCTGATCCAAGCCAGTTCATGCTCGGCGTCGCGAATCTTTCGCATTTCGGCGCCGTGAGCGGCTCTCTTCCGGGGATGATGTTCATGCGCAGGTGGTTTCGCATTGACATGTACACGATCTACAGCCGCTTACAAGCGTACTTCCGGAAAGAGCCATTCGGAGGACAGGTTGTCAGGCAAGAGGCGGAAAGGCGCGTGCAGGAGCGCTTTGACACCGTCAAGTTTGGCCCTTCGTCTATCGAAACCACAGAGATGCGGCCAGACCTGCTTTCGAGGTTCATGGCCGCCAAACATAGCACAATGGACACGCAGCGTGCCAAACAACCATTCGATTTCTTCGACGTGCTCCGCATGTCTCTCTCCATCGTCGGCGCAGCGAGTGACACGACAAGCAGTTTCGTCACTTCCTTTTTCGTCCTCCTTCTGCGGCATCCGTACATTTATGAGCGGTTGCAGCAAGAGATCGACGAATCTTTTGAGGAAGGGAGATTAGAGCGTGAAAATATCACCTATGCGCAGAGCGTCAAACTCGATTATCTACAGGCTTGCATCAAAGAGACATTAAGAATAGCTCCACCCATTAGCATGAGCCTTCCTCGAATCGTACCACCACAGGGGATGACTATCAACGGCACTCACATTGTGTGAGTACGGCAGAGGTGTGCGCGCACCACATCCTGCCTTCCAAACATACTTTGACTTTGACCATCTTGCGAGTTTCAGAGGTGGAGCTACGATCGGCACAGCTCCGTACATCTTTCATAGGAGTCCAGACGCTTGGGGGCCCGATGCAGCCATTTACAAGCCTGAACGATGGCTCAACCTCGAAGACAAGGAGCGCGGCCGCCTCGAGCGCCATTTCCTGAGCTTTGGCGCTGGTTCGCGCATTTGCATTGGCAAAAATATCTCCCTCATGGAGATCTCAATACTCCTCCCGACGTTATTGGCAAGCTTTCGCTTTGTGAGTTTGTCGTGCGGCGTTAAGCTGCATGGGGGAAACCAAGCGAAAACATCACTCTGTTTGGATTCGAATTGCAGAGCTTCACCGATGGCACAAAGCAGAATGTCAGAGACATTTTCAGAACTGCGGACGCCAAGCGTAGAAGCGACACATGGACTGGAGAATACGAAAGCACATGGTTCCTGGACGCCCGTGACGTCTGGCTCACGGTCACCAAGCGGTGATAACAAGGCTGACTTCTCGATTCTCGCTCACATAATGCCACGCAAACGTTGCTGTTGTACCAATGCATTTTCGCGCTTCCTCAGCAATACATCCGCATCATTCACTCGCTTCGCCGCTTCTGCCTTGCTCTCATGCAGATCCGGAGCCAGGCCGATCGTCCTTCTTTGGCTGATCCACGCCCATGCGCTGATTCGACGCGTCTTCCTCATCGTCGTCGTCCATTTGCATGGCCCTCGCGATGGCCGCGGCATCTTCGGGTGAGATGCTGTCGTCGCGCGCTGAGTCTGGGCCCTGCTCCGCGATGACAGCCGTACTGGGGCCTGTGGAGGTGCCATCAGGTACGTTGGCATCGCCGAAGATGTTGAGTGGCGTAAGCAGCTCGTTTGGCCGGCGATCGATCAGTAGCAAGATTCCGCCTCCACTGCCAGCATTGCTCGAGCCAAGAATCGACCGCGCTGCGACCGGCGTCGGGCCGCTGGCGTTGCTTGCTGTCCCTGTTCCGTCCTTGCCAGCCCCGCCATCAACTGCAGGAGCAGCGTCGTTTTGCGGTTTTCCGGGGACCTTGAGCGGCGTCACGTGTCCAGATGCGCCTTTTTGCGGCGTGTCAACGCCAAGGAAGCGCTTGCCAATGATGGTGCTCATATCATATACCTCATCGCGATTGTTGTAGCCCATCAGCGAGCGAATTGGAATGAGGCGGCCGTCCTGCGGGAAGGTGATGAACTTGACCTGCGCGGGTGTGACTCTCGAGTAATTTGCAAGCACTTCGAAGGAAGGCTCTGGCTTGCGCTTCCTACGCTGCTTGTTGGCAGCCTCAGAGCTATCCTTCGGAATTTCATCAATCTTAATATCAACCAGTCGCGGCGTCTCCTTCTCGTCGACGTCCATTCCTTCTTCAGCTGCTTTGGCCTTCTCCTTGGTCCGCTGCCTCGCTTGCGCTTTGACAGTGGTCGAAAGTACAGCCGTCTCGATCTTTTGCTGCTTCTTCTCCGCTGGCGGCTTTACAGGCGTGGGATACGCGAACAGGCTCGGGCGCGCGTTGGAGACAAAGTCGAATTCGGGAATGCGCAGGTCGCGGTTGAGGCCGATCAAAGCGGTTGGGGTAAAAGCAAGCGACGCAAAGTGCGCGAGCGGGAACCAGTACCAGAACTGGTTGAAGAGCGCCATGCCGACGATGGCAGGCATGTTGTTGCTTCCACCTCGGCTCTGTAGGCTGATCGTCACGTTGCGCCCGCCAGCATCGATTAATCCCTGGCCAAGGGCCGCACCAAACTTGGCCATGGCGTCCTCGTGCTTGTCGCCCATGATCTTCTCGAATGTCTTGCGCGCGCTGGCTGTACGCGGGTTGAGCACCTCGTTCTGCTGGATGAGGATCATGGCAAGCGAGATGCACGCGCCTTGTCGTACAAAATCGACCGGGTCCTTCGTCATTGGCTCGAGCAGCTCGAGTGCTTCCTCCAGCCCGGTCCCAGCACACGCAATTCCAAGCGCGAGCGTTGATCCATACCGCACGTGCGGGTTGAAGCTCTCCGAAAGGAGCTGGACAATGCGAGGGACCTGCGTCGGGTTGCGGAAGAGCAGGAATCCGAGTGAGGTGACGGCTGCGCGCCTGACATCGTCGCTGACGTCTGAGACGGCAATGTGCAGCAGGCGGCGGATGGCCTTGTTGTTGCCCGTACCAGCGTATGCTAGGGCGATGCAGTAGATACCACCATAGCGAAGAATGGCGTCCTTGTCCGCAACGAGCGTGTCGATCATTGCATCCGCCTGTTCCTCCTTTCCGTAGAAGAGCAGCGCAAGGCCCATCGCGAGACCACGTGTGATCTTCTCGTGGGAAGTCTCGTGTGCGTACTCGAGCATCTCTTCCACCGCACGCTCGTTACCAGTTCCGAGCATGACAAGGCCCATGGCGTATCCAGCCGCCTCGCCAGCAATGGCACTGTCGGTGAAAAGAACGTTCCGCAGCTCTTCGTAGACCTCCTCGTTGCCTGTCGCCATGCCTGCTGCACCGAGACCAAGGGCGGCGCCATGCTGTACGATCTCTGCTGCATTGTTCTTGAGCGTTTTCTTGAGTAGCTCCATCACTTCAGTGCCGTGGTTGGCGTGGATCAAGCCTAGCGCGAAGAGCGAGCCGCCTTCTGAATAGACGCTACTGCTCGTGCCATCTTGCGGCAGGTAAGGGCGGAGAATGGAGATACCCTCCTTGAGGTTGCCTTTGTTGATGACGCCGAGCGCGGCAGTAGCGGTGAACTTGCTCCAGTTGCTGGCTTTGGCGAGCCAGTCAAGATTGTCGCGCAGGAATCGGTCAGATGTGGTGCCAGCGTTGGTGAATGCATTCGCAAAAGTCATGGCGGAATGGTAGACGCTGTTCCTTGCGTCCAGGCTGTCCTTGATCGTCTTGAGGACGAGCAAATCGGTGTGGTTGGTGCGTTGAAGGAAGTCGAGGTACAGCTGGATGGATTCCTCTCCGAGAAGGATGGAACGAATTCGGTCAAGGCAACTGTCCACTGTCGACTCCTCATCTTCGCCTAAGTTCATGTCCTCATCCTCGGCCGCCTTAACTGCATCCTCCGTTTCCTGCTTGGCAGCGCCAGTTCCTTCGGCTTGGCCCTTGCTCTGAAGATGGGACCTGATAGTCTCGAGGAACTCTTGTGTAGCGCTCTCTGCTAGGTCGAATGCGACTTGATATGCGATCAGCAAAGGGTCGTCTTGGGTGTTGGCTTGCTTCGAGGAACCATCTCTGTGCGCCTTTTGCACGAGATCGTACAGCAGGTCTGATGCGAGTTGGGGTGCGTTGAGGTAGACGTAGCACTGCGCGATGGAGAAGTAATCTGGCGCAGATAACGTTTGGTAGAGGCGGACGAGGAGGTGCAGGACCTGGTTGCGGAAGTCAAGCGTCTGAACGACACCCATGACGGCATCTTGTATGTACGTCAGAAGCGCAACGTCCTTGGTCACTTCGAATACCTTCTGAATGATATCGAGTCTCCGGCATTCAAGCGCGATTCCCAATGCCTGTTTGTGCTCTTTGTCGGTGATGCATCTGTCGAACATCTGATCGACAATTTTCGCGAGGCCCGCCTTGAATGCCTCATCCTTTCCCTGTGATGCGGGCCCTTGCGGGTCCTCTGCAATGGCAATGTACGAGTCGATCGCTTTGGAAACGACCGTCTCGACGTATTCGTCCTCACGTTGCTTCTCTACGTCGAACAATGGGCCAGCCCCGAGCGCGAATGACAGTGCTTCGTCAAACTCGCCAAGATGAAAGTACACCTTGGATGCGACGAGTGCTGCGAGATGGCGATCTGGGAAAGACGGGTTCTCATGGAGCGTTTCGCTATGAGTAGCAACGTAGAGCAAAGGGGATCAGTACGAATCACTTCGAACTGAGTTTCGGGGCCTCTAGCAAATAACGCACATCTTGGCTACGCTATCGGCAATCTCTGCCCAGGAGTGGTGAACGATGTCATTGAGCTTCTTGAGAGCGTAGGACTGCAGTCCAGGCTCTTCCTCGTCAAGGAGAGTGATGACACCGACTGTCGTGCGCCCACACCAGCGAAAGTAGGAAGAAAACGATCCAGAATAATGCAGGTTTCACGAGTGAGCCGTGTCGGCGGCGGTCAGCAAACGATTGCGTATACGCAGCGAATAGTGCGTATCGACTCACCTGCCGACGAGATGGGGACCACCATGGTCGCTCGAAGCTGGAATCTGCGCTGGAAACTCGGTTCAGAACCGTACTTGGACTGCAACAGCTGCGGCTTGTGTACTCGAATGCCTCGCCGTGCTTTTCTATGCAGACCTTGGAGGAAGGTGCTAGAGGTAAACCATCTGGAGTTCGAGGTGTTGGTTCGTGCTTTGACGAAAGGACGCGCGTCACCTGATGGACATTCTGGGGGAGTCCCTGTTTCACATTTCATTCATACCAGCCACGAACTGGTTAACGACACCATTTCAAAATCTGCAATGGTAATGTTACGATGCCGATTGAAGTAGCTTCTGGAAGGGTAGAGCTCGTGCATTGAATGGCCGATCTCTAGCGGTTCAAAACGTGTGGTACAGGCTGTGGCGGACACCTACCAATTTGAGCAAGCATGGGTCACGGCAACACGAATGCGCTCTACGTGCGAGCGTCCGAGCACGTAAGTGATTTGCCTGTTGCCTCCTAGAAGCCGCATCTGTAGCTGACCCTTCCTTCTCGTTCGCTTGCTACCTGCGGCGAACATCAGTCGGGTGCTCTGGGCCGACATGGTGCTTCGAGCGGATCGGCTGCCAAGAGTGCCGGAGGCGATCCCGAAGCCGGATTCAAGCCGCTGACTTACGATAATTGTGCCATCAGCCTACAGCCTTGGAAGCACCCTGTGTGTTGCAAAGACGACGGTACGATCTTCGATCTAATGAACGTCATTCCTTACATCAAGAAGTATGGCACGAATCCAGCAACGGGACATCCGCTCAATGCATCGCAGCTGCTCACGTTGCATTTCCACAAGAACGAGGAGGGCAAGTACTCCGATCCCATCTCTTACAAAGGCTTCAACGAGCATACGCACATTGTTGCGATTGCCACGACGGGAAATGTCTACGCATACGAGACAGTGCAGCAGCTGAATATTAAGGGGAAGAACTGGCATGATCTGCTCGACGAATCGACTGCTTTCAAGCGGGAAGATATCATCACCCTCCAAGACCCTTACAACATGGAAGGAAAGGACATCAGGCAGTTCAACCACATCAAGGAAGGCAAGGTACTCACTGCCGCCGATCGTGGCGAAGTGGACAAAGAGGAGCTCAAATTGAGCGCCACAGGAAGTACACAGAGCCTACTCAAGATGGTCAGGGCGTCCCAAGGCAAAGGTGAAGGCAGCCAAACGAAAGTCCCCGGCGGTGCAACAGCAAAAGCAACCACAATCCCAATGCCCGCTGCCGAGAAATCCTTGGAAGGTCAAGCACAACAGCAGAAGCAGCAACAGCATGCGAATGGAAAGTCGTACCTGCAGCAGTTAACAAGCACGGGCATGATGGCCGCTTCCTTCACTTCTTCCGCCATCACCCCGCGAACAGTCAACGAGCGGACGACACTTAGCGAAGAAGAGTATATGTTCGAGCATATCAGTAATGGCACCGGTGTCGGTGCACTTGATTCGAAAGGAAAAAAGACTAAGGGCTACGTGCGGCTCACGACCAACTTTGGCCCGCTCAATCTGCAGCTGCACGTGGATAAGGCGCCAAAGACTGTGCGTTGGAGAGAGTCGTGAACAGGAATGATTCTAAGCGTGATCAAGCTGACATTTCATGTGCGTGGGTCACTATTGTTGTAGTGCTACAATTTTCTCACGCACTGCAAAAATGGCTACTACGATAACACGATCTTCCACCGCAATATCCCAGGTTTCATGATCCAAGGCGGGGACCCGACCGGCACGGGGCGCGGTGGGGAATCGATCTGGGGCAAACCGTTCAGAGACGAAGTCGACATCCCCGGCGCGTACAAGCACGCTTCGCGCGGCGTGCTGAGCATGGCGAACAAAGGTGCGGGCACGAACGGCAGTCAATTCTTCCTCACCTACCGCAAAACGCCGCATCTGGACGGTAAGCACACCGTATTCGGGTGCCTCATTGAAGGCGAGAATGACACAACGCTTGATGCGCTGGAGCAAGTTCCCACCGAGCCAGCGACGAACCGGCCCCTGCGCAGCATACGCATTCTCGATGCGGCCGTTTTCGAAGATCCGTTTGAGAAGTTCAAGGAGAAGCTCGTCAATAAGCTCAAGCGCGAAAACATGACCGACGAGGAACGGCGAGCACGCGAGGAGCGGAAGCGCAAGAGGGAAGACGATAGGACCACGTGGCTCGGCACCAATCTCGATGAGCGAACCAAGAACGACATTGTATCCTTAAGCTTCGCAGTCGGCGGCGTCGGCAAATACGTCGGTGGCAGCACCCAAGGGGCGACAACTAGTGCCGCGAAGCAAAGTACTGCACCATTGCAGTCCACTGGTCTTTCCTCGCAACTACCAGAGCCAGCTGAAATGAAACGCAAAACGGCCGGCGGGGGCTTTGGGGACTTCTCAACATGGTGACAGGCTGGTACATTCGTGAGATTCAATGTAGCATAGTGTAATGTATCCTATTCACATTTTTGTTGGACCCAATGCACCCGAATGCTTTTGTGTAAGCTACAGAATAACTTTGACCTCAAAGGGGTGAAAACACGTTGCCTCTACTGGATGCTGTTATTACAAAGTGAACGAGTCCAAATCATCGCTATTCATATTCAAGGCGGGGACGATACCACCAAAGAGAGGAGAAAATTGCATCAGAGCGTTGTCGCATTCGCTCGAGGGTGGGCAAAGTGCGTAGGGTTGCTGCATGTTGGCTTCGTGCGAAGCGTGCCCCTCGTTCCGTAGTCGCGCATTACCGCCGCTGCCTGTTGTACGCATGACGGGCGTCGAGGTTGCGCCGATCGTGTGTCCGCCTGTACTACCGCTTGTACTGGCTCTCTGACCAATGTGGTTGGCGTTGCTTCGATCGTCCACCTCGGATATGTGCAATAGCGGTAGGGAGGGCGAGAGTTCTGTACGGCTTTGCCTTCGATGCGTACTTCGAGATGACGACCTGTGCCGAGCAGAGCGATGCGGTAACGCAGCGTGATGGTGGTGATGGTTTTGATGATTCTTGTACGGTGTCGCTGCGGTCGCCGGCGAAGCAGGGAACTGGTTGGCGCCTCGCTTGAAGCCGTACTCAGCAACAAAGCGCGGTGTCTTGCTTCCAGTCACAATTACCTGCGTTGGCAGCTTGGGGCGCAAGTATGGTGACAGCTGGCGCTGCTCGATGGAGAGGTTGTCCCGCCAGGCGTCCTGGTGTACTAAATCGTGCAGGTCGATCTCTTTGATCCGGTAGGAGCGCCTGCGTAAGTCCTGTGCTACCTTCTTGCCTTTGTTCTTCGCCTTTGTCCTTCGCGCTAGCGGCGACAAGAGATCCTGCAAGTGAGTCGAAAACATGAGATGACGTATTTGTCAGCTACGTGCAGCTGATAAGACCATAGGCAACAATGTATCTCTTAAGCTCAGGACGTACTTGACGCTGATGCCTGCTCTCGGCTTTAATCATTGACCTGAGAGCATTCGGCGACGATTCACTGCGTCGCGCACCTCTGCTACGCGGAGCGGTTGACATGGCGAAAGGTGAAGGCACACCGGCGGACCCATCGATCAGAGCGCGTCTGCGTGACTTGGCAGACGCCGTAAATGTACCCATGCGTGGCCCCACACAGGCAGCAACGGTAATAGCAGCAGTAGCTGGCGCACTCGGCGTGCGAGCGATGGGCTGCTGCTCCTGCTGGTCGCCCGTCGCTTCAGACGCAGATGTGGAGGCAGGCGCAAGCGGAGGCGGCGTCATGCTGGATGATGCGGCAGATATGACGTTCGGGAGCGGCAAGTCGGACTGCAAAATTGGTGTGGACAGGCCGGCGGTCGACGGGGACAGCGGCGTCGCCCACGGCGCAGCGTCTCCAGCAGCCGCAGCGGCAGGGTTGATGAGGTCTGACGTAGCAGGCAACCCGCCAATTACAAACATGGGCGGCAGCATGAAGCCTTGCACGAGACTAACGTCGAGACCCACCCCAGTGCCACCCGCGCCAAAAGCAGAGCCAGCATTGGCTTGGTTGACGATGGCGATCTGCCTCGCAGCGCGGAGCGCCTTCTTGTTGCGCTTCCGGCTCTCGCGTGCCATTCTTCTCGCCCGCTTGGCCGCTCTACCCCCCTTGGGTGCGACGCTACCGACGAGCAGGCGCGGAAACGGCATGTCGTACTCGCCCAGGTCGTCCGTCGTCTCTCCGTCCGATGACGCGGCTACTGAGGACGAGTCGGTGATGATGTGCGGGGTAGGGTAATGCCGAGAGTGGCGCGTCGACTGGGCGTGCATGCGGTTCTTACCGACGTGTCGACTGCTTTGAGCGCCACGGCGAGAAGCAGCAAAATCGCTTTGCTGCACCTTGTCATCATCATCATCACCATCATCATCACTGTCGTCCAGGAGCCCGGCTTTAGCAGCCTCGTCGGCGTCCATGAATAGCGGGTTGCCCGCGCCGTCCATGTATGCATCTTCGTCGCTGTCCATGCCCTCATCCTCAGCGACAGCGTCACTGTGTCCATAGTCGTCGCTGTCGCTCTCCGTGTCTTCGCCGCCGACATACTCAAACTCGCCGTCGGAGCCAAAGACTGCGTCGCCGCCGGTAGCGCGTGCACGGATCAAGCGACCGTCCGTCTCCTCGATGACGAGGATTGGGACGGAGTCGAGATGCGTGGTCGGTGCGACCGACAGCTGCGGCAGTACACGATCTTGTGCTTGCAGCTGCGGTGCGCCTCCCGAGCCATGAATCATGGCAGCGCTACTCATGACGCCCTCTCCCCCTACTATTTCTTCCGTGAGCTCCTCTTCCTCATCCTCCTCTTCGCCCGAAGAGGAGTCGGCGGGGAGGAGTGCATCACGGAGGAACGCTTGGATGGCCTCGTCATCCAACTCCAGTTTCACTACGTTCTCTTTGGCGCCCACAGCGTCCTCTGTCCCAGTAGCCTTCGCCTCGTCATCGTCTTCATCGGTGGAGTCGGCAAAGAAGTCAGTGAAAGTCGGCTCCGAAGACGAATCGAAGGTTTCTTGCTCTTCGAGTAGTAATGAGCGGTGCTGCTGCTGCTTCCACTGTGCTTGTGGCTCACTTTGGCTCGACGCTGAGCGACCACGAACGACTGGCGAGTGCTCTTCTGCATGCCCGATGAGCGCTGCAGAGATGGACTGCGCTGTTGTGTTCACCTTAGCTCTCATGTTATCTGCGCCGGCATGCGAGGCTTGGTGACTCTTCTGCGCCTTCCTGGCTGCAGCAGCCTCACGACGCAGCTTCTTGACCTGCCCTTGGCTCTGTCGCACTCGGGGCAGCGTCGTCCGTGGCATGTCGAGCTCGAGATCGGTTAAGTCGGACGAGTCGTCCGAGTCGACGACGATGGCCGAGTTTGGAGTCCTGCGAGGCTTCCACTTGCTCGGCACAGCCCTCTCCTCCTCCTCGCCCTTGTTCTCGTCCTCGGTCTCTTCCCCATCATGGTCTTGCGGTTCAAAGTCCGAGTCGAGATTCATCCCATCCGCATCGGTCGTAGTGTCCGAGATGGAATTGACGCCATCGTTTTCAGCCATCTCCATTTCTTTTGCTTCTTCTTCGTACCGCGCTTTACGAACCGAGGCCTTACGCTCTTGAAGGTACGATGGGACATACGACGGGCGGCCAGAATCTTGCTGCATGCAATGACCATCTTGTCCGGCAAGAGCGCTCAGCTGTTGGGCATGTGAGCGGGAGGGTGCCGTGAAGCTCGAAGCCGAAATGGGTGTATCGAGTATGCCGCCAGCAGCGTTGTACGATGTCTTACTGGGGCTGAATGTTTGGGAGCCAGTTCCAGCAAAGCCATTCACGCGGCCATACTTTTTCAAACCTAACGCTTTGCTTGGATGTGTTTTCTTATTGGCAAACATGAAGGGCGGATCAGGCTCCTCGTCCGAGTCGGTCGCCACTGACGGTGCTCCTTCGCCTTGGACCGATGCGCTGGGTGCCTTACAGGCTTCTGGACTGGCGGCACCACCAAGACGCCGATCGTGGTGCGCATAGTACTGGCTTCGGTGGGCGATGGGGCCCACGCGCGGAGAGTTGACATGCTTGCCAAAGCTCAACGATATCGGTGTTGTCGATCCAGCAGCGCTGCTGATTCCTTGCCGTCCAAAGGTGGATCGGGCTGTGCAGCGCAAGTTTGGTTGTCAGATTTATCCGTCTCAGTAAAAGGTGTAGGAAATGTGTATGCAGCATTGTTCCAGGCGGGATGAGTGATAACTCACTAGGTGTGGGCACAATGGATTTCGACATGATTGCTCCCTTGGGCTGAAATCAATGAGTAGAATATAGCTTTTCGCGGAGCTGATCCCCGTCGTCTGTCTCGTCCAAATATGACTTTGTGGCTGCGGGTTGACTGTGCAGCTGCTCTGCTCGTACCAGATTAGAGGTGTATCCGTTTCGTATTGACCTGTCTCTCGAGATTGTGTTTTCGAATGAGGAGCGAGTTGTCAGGGTTGACCTGCTGGCAGACGATGCTGCTGATATTGCTGAGTTGGAATCGAGGCTGAGACTGATGGAGGTAGTCTTGCATGGTATTTGCCTCCCTGAAGTCCACTTGACCTCAGGCAGAACGAGATCTGTAGACGGGTGTTTGTTTGCTTGGCTGCCCCTGTCGTTGGTCAGGCGGCGCAGTCTTGCCGCTCGCTCGCTATTGAACTTGATGGTAGTGAGTGCCAGACCGTGAAGGCGGTGAAGGATGTCTGCTGCAATGATAGGCGAGGAGGTCCGGATTGATGTCACCTTTGAGCTTTGCCGTCGATGAAGGTAGAGGAGCAGCAAGACATGCATACCAAAGGCCGCTGCTGCAAGGGTATTTAATTAGTACACGTAACAACCAGCAGCCAGCTGAAGGAGCAGCAACATTTTTTGGAGAGAAGCGGATCGAATAAGATGAGCGCATACTGGGTTGGTTTTACACGAAAACACTGCTGGCGCTGGCCGAGTGCTGACTCCTTATTGCCCTAAATGGACTACAGAGACTTGGATGAGAGTCTCTCTGTGTCTCTGCTCTCAACAGCTTTCTGAACAGTCGCCGTGACTCTCACTCTCTGCTTCAATGGCGTCATTTCTTCATGGGTGACTCGATGCGTTTGTTGGGTCTGGATTCTGGTGGCTGCAGCGCTGCGCACACCCTACTCTCAACGAACAGGGAATCTAGTACGGGTCCGAGGAGAGGAGACGGCCGCCCATGGCTGCCCGATCCACCTTATCGCTCGAAGTTCAGCATCGTCTACTGGTGCTCTCTGTCTGCCATACCATGCATTGCGCGACAAGGAGTGCGCAGCAGATATGACCGAGACAAATGGGCGACGCAATGCACGCTTCGACATCCTCAGCAGTCCAAACTGTGTAGTCTGGCATAGCAGTGCTTGTCCGCACCGCTCACCACCCACCCCTGGTACAGAGAATGACATGTTTCATTGTGGCACTTGATCCATTTTGCAATGTTCTAGTGGGGTCTGCCACTTTAGTACATTCCAAGTGACTCGTTCTCTCAACATGTCCACATGCCCAACAAGCTCGTTTGATCAATACTATGGAATCCAATAAACTGCATATCCAGCTGGGCATGCGCAATAAGTCTCTCCATGATGCAGCCCCATTTTCGATGAGCCGCACTGATGAACTTGCGACATGCCATTTCCATCAACTCTTCTAGTGCCCGAAGCTACTCCCGCCAACAGACACGACAGTCTTGTTCGCGCTGCCCGGTCCCGTGTACTCGGTCTCCGGCGACGATGCACTGCCTTCCTTTTCGCCCAGAGGCGTCGAGGCGCCTGTTGATGCAGGGTCCTCTGCAGAGTCGGAGCTCGGTGCCGGCCGACCACGAAGACGATTGTAGATGCCACTCGAGATGAGGTTGAACAGCGGAATGCCCTCGCTGTGAACGGATGAGAGGGACCCAGGTGAATTCGTTAGCAATGCCCTGCAGTAAAAGTCCTGCACTGATCTGCCCCTTATGCACTCACTAAAGCGGAAGGATACCGACGTTGACGAAGGAGATGACGGCCCAGATGAATGCAACGATCGACCAGCCCGAGAAAAATGAGCGCGTGAAAATGTAGTCGCGGTAGAGCGAGTAAGGCCAAATGATAAAGAGCACAAGAAAGATCGTGACGGAGAATATAGCCTTTTGCAGCAGAAGCAAAAATGAGGAGATGGTCAATGCTTGTTCGAAAGGTGGATACGTGGACGGTACCGCGACGTACCCCGAGCTTGAGCGCGCTGTCGAGCTGCCTGCGCTCCTTGACATCCTGCTCTTGCTCCAGCACCTCCTTGGCACCCTCATACGAGTCAGCCTGTTTAACTTTAAGCGTGTCCCAGTCAAACTGCTCGCCGTTGATGAGCGACGCAATCGTGCACAGGATCAAGCCCGTGCTGACGGCGGCGATGCAGCCGTACAGGCAGACACTAACGTTAGCCAGTGTGGTGATGTTCACCGCGCCTTGCGTGCGGTACGCCGTGCCGAGCCACACGCCGACTGCGGCGCCAAAGTCGATCCAGATCTGTGCGTAGATGCAAGCTCAAAATAAGCGTATGCCCGACGGATCATGCAGACCCTGCCCATCACTCACGCCCGGAAATACAGCCCAGCTATGCAACGCGTTGGGGAAACCAGCGGACGAGAAGATGAACAGCAGCTGCGGAAGCGCAGAGCATGTGAAGATACCCGTGATGCTGCGATGCGTGAGAACAGTCGGATCAGTTTGTCGGCCCCTACGAAGATGTCAGCCACAAAAGCATGCTCACTTGTAAATGATGCTGAGGTCAACGCCAACGCCATGTAGTAGCGAAGAGAAAGCGGATGCGAAGATGCCAAAACCCACGACGCCAAAGTGGTTGACGAGCAGCGTTTGCCTGGCGGTGGCCTTCTTGTTGATGTACGTATTGTATACGTCAAACGTCAGCACAGTGGAAACCCCGACGAGTTGCGCGGACAGGGCCGAGGTGGAGCTCATGAACATGAGCAGGAGCACCGCAGCAGACCCGCCTGTGTGCAGCAAGAAACAAAGCATGAGCGCATCCGGCTCGGCAGATACATACGCCATGGTGCGATTTCGGCACTCACCGTTTCCAAGAATAGCTTGGCCGGCATATGGCAGCGTCAGACCAGCGCTGATCTCAGCGGTGGTCATTTTGTTGGGGAACGTGGGGAAGCGCGGGCTGGTCGTCTCAAGCGCACGAGCGACGAGACCAGCGGTGGTGGCGAGAGCCCATGGCACCGGGAACCAAGACAGGGCTGCAATGACGTAGCCTGGCATGGCTGCGGAGGGCTTTGCTGCGATGCCCTTTTGGAAGAAGCTCGCGTCGTTGAAGACGACTGAAATCAATTGCGGTAAAAATAACCATTCAGTATGCGCGCAATCATCGAGAAACTCAACCTCCGACTCACCACCGGTGTACTCAAGCCAGCTCAGGACGCCAAACTTGATCGCATCGGGGCTCTTGATGGTGAGCAGCGACTCTTGGAAGTTGCCTTTGATACCATTCCCCGTCACGGCCAAATTCTGCAACAGGTCATACATCTTGGATGGGCTTCCGATCTCCGGGAGCGTGGTATACGTGCGGAGCCAAAAGATGAAAAGGATGATGAGGATGATGCAGGTATGTAGGTAGTCGGCGATGACCACAGATCGCAGGCCGCCGCGAACGGTGTATGATACGACGGCGGCGGACAGGAGCCAGATGTTGGCGTAAATGTTGGTACCGGTGATCGCGTTGATCGCGGCGCTGGCACCAAGGAGAACGGCAGCGGAGACGAGGATGTTGGTCGCAAGCGCAAAGAACATGAATGTTAGATGCGGAAAGATGCCAGGAAAGCGCAGCTTCACAAGCTCAAGGTGTGTGTGCACCGTTGGAGCTTTGCGCTTGATCTGCACGGCGAGGAGAGCGAAGAGGGCAATCTGGGTCGTGTTGCCCGCTGCGTACATGAATGCACCAGCGGCACCATAGTTGTAGGCGGTGCTGCAGCTCGATAAGAGTGTCACGGACCAGATCCACGAACTGCGAGTGGGTATTTGAGAACCCTGTTAGCTACGGATAGCCTCGCAGTAAATCCCCGTGCGACCCACCTGACAGCAGCCGAGGCAACCAGTCCCTTACCTAGAGACCGCGTAGCAACGCTGAATTCTTCAGAGGTCTCTTGGATACCGGCGAAGCGGATGAGCGTCCGGCTGACACCGATGACCACGACGGCAAAGAAGAAGCCCAGGCCCACAACAACGCCCTGATTTGAAGTACAGTCGTTTAGCGGACGCAGCTCGCGTGTAACTGTATGGTTGCAATTTCTCACATAGCCTGTTCCCTGGGACAGTGGAGGCGGCGGAAGAGTGTCCGACATGTTGATTTGCTGTGAGGAACGCAGTTAGAGTAGAGATTCGTGATAATCTGGCCCGGATACGACGCTTCCCAAACACGATGGGGATGCGACGGAGAGAAGAAAAATGCGTGAGGACGGAGATCGCTATATATCACTCCAGACTCTGAAGTCAACAGCCCTCTCCGTACGAAAGGAGACATCGAAAATCATTCTCAAGATCGGAGAACGCTGTTCTGCCTTCCCATTGCAACATATCGCGATCTCTGGTGTGGGGCGTGTCCCAATCCCTGTTCCTTGGACAGATTTGGAACTTGACAGACTTTGGCCGTAGTGTGTTCGTGCTCATCGCTCAGGTTCGTATTCCCAAAGGCTTCCACATCTAGATTGTATCTGATGATGGTAACTGCTGACGGTGAAAGCTCAAGCGCTCAGGTGCTCAAACAGAGGGAAAGCCGAATGGGCCATGGCTTATTGGCCCTCTGTCAGCGAAAGTCGCAATCTGGGTTAGTCCATTTAATTGCAGCCCTTGTTGATCTTCTGGTGCAAGGTATCCTGGGGCACGTTTTTCGGAGACTTGGGGTGTAGTACCGAGGATGGAGTTGTGACTGCTTGCGAAACCGGAAATGAATTGACTGGGCTCTCGCGGAGGTGTTACGTTGCGGGGCGAGCTCGGGAGCTGCATACCCAAACCCCTCGACGCTCGCACCATGCTCCATTCTCATAGCGGGGTCAACAAGTCGACGTGCTTTGCGTTGAAAAAACGCGTGGTACGCACAGGCAATCAGCAGATGTACGGCGTCATGGGCTTGAATGCAGAGACAGATAAGATGGTCAAAGCGATCCACAAAATGACGATATTCACCCCAAAGCCCAATTGCGAGCTTGTCGGTTTCGCAGCGACCTTGATCACGCAACGCGAAGCAGCGTAAAAGGTCACGTGATCCCGAGCACGGGACAAGAAGTCACCACATCTTCTATCGCGTCTCGTGAAAGCGTCAATTTTCCGAATCCCATCCACGCTTGGTATAGAGTCAACCATGTTCCGTGCTCCACAGGTAACATCCGCGCAAGCGCTTGTGATATACGTACGCCAACGAGTCATACACAATCAGGGGCACTGGTTGAATGTGGCTGGAAGGGTCACACCGATGGGAATGTGTCTTTCAGAAACACACATTTTCATTCCAGATCTTCTGATACATCCAACCACAGTCGGATGGTGGGGTCGTGCTCCATGCTCCCGGAAGCGATGATCGGTAGGAAGGGGTGAACCTGGGGACAGGCCGGACCCATGGAAATTTAGCTTCTGAGCCCTGAGTGGAACGTGCCAGAAGCAAGACTCACCGCCAATGCCAGCACCGTGTCGCGATGTGCTTCGAGCTTCTGCACCACTTCTTTGGTCTGTAAATCCCACAGAACGACCTTCTGGTCCTCGCTCCCGCACACCACCAAAATCTCTGGCAGCCCTTTTCGATCTCGTCTCCTCCGCTCAACCGCCAGTGTGCGTTGGATGATCGACTCCTTGTCGTTTTCCTCTAACTGCGTTTCCTCTGGCAAGTGGATTTCTTCAGCCGTTGCCGGCCCTGGGCGGATAAAGCGCGGGTGCGTAAAAGCAGCCTTCATGATGTGCTTCTCGCATTTGTGTCCTGTGTACGTCTTGAGCACGCGTCCGTTTGGAACATCCCATAGTCGTACCATATTGTCCAGACTGGACGCCAGGAGCTGTACAGAAGACGGAGAGAAGAGCACGGAGGAGATGGCGTTGTTGACGGGAGAGCCCGCCAGCTTCGATTCGAGCGTCTTGAGGCATTGACCGGAGGACACATCCCATAATCGACTGTTTTCGACACCAAATGCGAGTGAGCTAGAGGCAGAGGTGGCGACTGCATACAATGGGCTTACATTAACCCATCGTAACTGCCCGTGACAGCAATATTCCCGTCGCGATTGAAATCCACAGAGCTGACTGCTTCTGTGTGGGCGTTAATGCTACGGTGACATGCACCTATAGGGACGCAAAACGAGTTTCAGCTTGAAGTCTCAAATATAAAAATTGTCATCGGTGACATGAAACTGGCCTCTTTTGCTCTCCCAGAATTTGAGCGACTCGTCGAATCCCCCCGTTGCGATCAGCGTCCCCTGAGGGTTGAACGCTAAACACAGAACATAGCTTGTGTGCCCTTTCAAGGATTTGACCAGCTTGCCCTGTGGGACGAAAAGGGATGCTCAATGCATGTTGGAACACTCCTTCACCATCAGAACTTACTGTGTGTGAATTCCAAATCTTCAACGTGCGGTCATCGCTCACACTCCCAATGTAGTCTCCATCCTTGCTCCAGGCCACCTCGTTGACGCCTTTAGTATGCCCTTCAAGCGAATGCATGACTGCGCCCGTGCGAATGCTCCACACCTTGATGAGCGTGTCTGCTCCTGATGAAGCTAAGCGCCCCCCATCTGGGGAAAACGCCAGCGATGTGATCCCGCGAGCATGACCATGCAGAGAGCTCATCTCCCGGTACATAGGCGACGGGGAGAGCGCGGCGTGAAGACCATGCAGGTTTGGCAGCCGTGGGAGCTTGGGTTTCTTCACGTCCGTCTTGCCTGCACTTGAACCTTGCGGACCTTCCTCTGGAGGTGCTTGCGGTTCGTTGCGCTCTTCGGAGGGCGGATCGACGTGCATCATGGCAGAATCATCCATCGAGCCAGCTGCCGAGCGAGCACAAAGGCTCGCCGAAGGTGGGAGAGTTAGGGAAGAACCATCTCGGACCTTCAGTGCTCCTTCCATCCCACCCAGCCGACTCCCTTGCGCCATCACAGCATCGTCTGCCCTCACAGCGAAGACACTTGGACTATATTTGACTTGCCTGAGAGGGCCTGACGCCACATTAAAGAAATGAGAGAGACAACAAGTGCTTGTGTGGTCTCCCTGTCTTTCCGCTCGGTGGCTGATTTACGCGTCGCATTAGGTCTTAATTCGCGACGCGAACAATGGAGCATTCAAGGACGCACTCGTCCAGTGCCTGCAAGTCATATTGCATGTTCAGACTTCTCAATTTAGGGTCCGTATGCATGCATCCTTCAAAGCTTCTAATGCCTTTAAACCATCCCAATCTGGGCCAGCAGAAAGAATAAATAGAGCAAAGCGCATATCAGAGCCAATCCAGCGTTGGAGGAAGGAACGAATGGATTGGTCTCTTCTGTTCACCTGCGATCAAGATGTCGCACTTGCGAACGGCGGTGCCCACGAGGAAAACGCTCGAGGTTGGCTTCGCGCTTGTGAGCGCCTTGCTATCTGAGCATGTCAATAGGATTGTTAACGAGCCGTACATGGTATGCAGAGCACAGGGATTCCTAATAGTTCAGCTGTTAACTTTTTTTGCTACATTTGAACGTTCCAGGATGAGATCTTCCACATACCGCAAGCTCAGGCGTATTGTCATGGCAAATGGGACACGTGGGATCCGAAACTAACCACTCCTCCGGGCATCTACCTGCTTTCCAATTTACTTGCCCGAGGCCTTCAATACATACATCTCCCCCTCACATGCTTGAACCTCAACTTTCTTCGGAGCACAAACTTGGTGCTCTATCTGATCCTACCGCACCTGATCGTAGCGATCCGCCAAGCACTGCTTGAGAAGACCAAGCAACTGAGAATGCATCATGGACGAGCTACAACTGCCAAAGCAAGAGGCGCAAGAATTGGCAACACTCTTTCAGGGCAATTACTGCATCATGTAGTCGATGAGATGCAGCGAAGCGAGCTTGTCAAGACCGTCTTGTCGACCGAAGCGCATGCCATCACATCATTTCCCCCATTGTGGTTCTTCGCCTTTCTGTACTACACCGATGTCGGAAGCTTCGTAGTCGTACTCGCGTCCTACTTTGCCTCTTTGAAAGAGAGACTGATGGTATCCGCCTTGGTAAGTTTAAATTAGCGTTTCCGATCGTGGCCGAGCTTTGCTGACGACTTCCTGTTTCGCAGTTCGCATTGGTCTCACTGACATTTCGTCAGACAAACGTCATTTGGGTCGCATTCATTATGTGGACAGTCCTTCTTCGCAGACTCAAGGAGTGCGGGCTGCACGACCCCCTTGCTGCGAAAGCCACACGCTCGAGTATGCTGGAAGTCATCAAAAGCGGAATGCGCGTGTTCCGAAAGTCGAGTACATGGCGTAGAGTCTCAGGCTCTTTCGTCTACCTGCCTGTCTTTGCCGCATTCGCCCTCTTTCTCAAGATCAACAATGGGATCGTACTCGGAGATAAGACGAACCATGTCGCTGGCCTGCACTTTCCACAGCTTTTCTACTTTACGGCCTCCTCCACAGTATTTGCCTGGCCATCTTTGCTTCGCGCAGGGCCGATGCGCCTCGCGCGATCAACGTTTCAGAGCTTGGTAGGAAGCAGGTCAGCCTTCTTCTCCACCATTCTACTTCTAGTCACCATTGCCGCTAGTGTGCGCTACTTTACAATCTTCCATCCGTTCGTACTAGCGGACAATCGGCATTATCCATTCTACATCCGCAAACGAGTGCTCGACTGGCGTCCTTGGACCAGATATGCCGCCATACCTACTTACTTGGTTTGTACCGTCATGTGGTGGAACCAACTCGCGCAGACGCAGACCCTGCTTTGGCTCATCGGCTTCATCGCCAGCACAGCTCTCACGCTGGTCCCGTCGCCTCTCATTGAGCCGCGATACTTCCTTGTGCCATATGTGCTCATGCGGCTCCATAGTCCGCTTCCACCCGGGGATGAGGGAGCCGAACCGCCTACACAAGAGGCCCACGGCAGAGGTTCCGAGTGGGCAGGGGAGATGACGCATTGGATGCTCGCCAGCTTCATTGAGCTCGCATGCAACATCCTCATCCACGGTGTCACCATGTACATTTTCCTACATAGACCCTTTCGCAGCCCTTTCGAGCCAGGTTTGCAGCGATTCATGTGGTAAAAGAAGAGCTTTACAGCATTTTCTCCGCCTTGGGAGGATGCGCGGTCACTTGTCGTATGTGCGGGTCCTATCAGCCAGCGTGTTAAATGTGTTGATCTAAGTTCCGCCTGCCATTAGATTCCTGGAGTGCATACATGGAGGTCCACCATACTTGGCAGATGTGCCCTCTTAAGACTGCACCTTCAGGTTGCGCAGCACAACCGAGGAAGATGTCTTCGCAAGCTCCCAGCTCAAGCCAGCATGCGAGGCTGGCTGTTCCTGCGCAGCCTATGCGCAAAGACTCGCCCTTAAATGGCCTCTTCAATTTCCTGGGTAATCGTCTTCAGCCATTGCCTGTTGCCCCTGCTGTGCCACCTGCACAACACTTTCACATATACGACAATAGCTACAATGCGGCGAGCAACCCACATACACCCGCGTTTGCTTCGCAAGTTGCACCGGGCTCTCAGCCTATGACAAGCCAAGTACATTATTCACAACCTGCGCATCCGTATTCGTACCATCACGAACAGCCTCCCAGCAGTCAGCTTGTTCCACCACCTCCACACTTATATGCTACACAGACAGATTGGTCACTTCAGCATGCCCATCGGCCTGCGGTTGTTGAAGAACCGGAGGTTGAGCCAGAACCGCAAAATGAGAAAGCTGTTAAGAAAGGTAAGCGGCAGCTTAAGGGGAAAGCCGCACGACCACGACCTGCAGATCCATCAGAAAATGTGGACCGTGGCTCCGAAGATAGCGATCGGGAGGGTAAGAATACACAAGAAATTCTCAAGCGCGTGCAAAGCCTTGAGAAAATGATCAAAGGCTTGCAGGCAGACCACAAAAAAGACTTGACGGATCGGCTGGCTGGTGTGAGAAATGCTTTGCAAACGCATGGTCAGTGCTGAGCTGTTCCAGGGTATGCAAGGTGCTTTGACGATGCTGACATCATTTTCCTCTAGCGGAGGTAAAGATGGAAGAAGTTATCGCAACCGTCCGTGAAGGTCAGAAGAAGGATGAAAGCATCGGCGGGACACTTAGACGTATTATTACCAAAGTTGACGACTGTGAGCGGCACATGGACAACTTCAAGAAGTCCTTCAACCCCAGAAAGGTGGTTCCCACCATGCAAGAGCTGAGATGTGAGATGCAGGGTCAAAACAAGGCGAGTGCAATTCGAATAGAGGGTGTATACTGTCATTTGATTGAATGTGGCTGATCATACCTGTGATTTCCAGAATCTGCAAGAGGTGAACAGACACGTTGGCACCGACGGCCACCTTGCTACTGTGATTCAAGGCATCTGTAACCGGCTCGAAGCCATTCAGATGAATCAAGAAGATCTTCGTAAAACGGTTGAGGAGTCAATCGTGCACTTGTTGCAAGGATCCGGAGCGAAACAGTTCACATCAGGAAGGCCAGCTCAAAATCACCACGAAAAAAATGCAGACCGTGATGAACAGCAACTTGCCATGCGCAAGGCTCAGTGGGTGCGCCTAGCAACACCACCTAATGTTAGCAGTCCCTCGCCATTCGACTTTTCTCAGTATACCCAGCCGAATGAACTGCAAATCGCTAGTGACAATCAAGGTGAGCAATTTCGAACACTTTGAAACATTGCCTCCATGCTGTTCTCTTACTTCTTTTGCCCATTGTCTCTTCTCGAATAGTGCCGCCGACACATGCAGTAGCAGCGCCGACAAGTCCAAACTATTTGCCAAGCTCTCCGACGCCGCCCTCTGCCCAACGGAACGGCGCGTTGCGCCCGCTGCTGAATGTCCGTTTGGTGCACCACTCGCCATCGACCCTTCCAGCTGTCGCCTCTACGAATTGGAAGCGGAAGAGAGTCGGGCAATGGCAGGGTGCTGCATCAGCAAAAAAACAGAAGAGGAGCTTACCGCTCGGAGACAGCAGCGAGTTGGGCTCGGCGGATGAGAGCGAGACGCTGCCAGAGGATTAAGGAGCTTACAATGGTCGCGTGGTCGAAAACACGCGGCCGGCGGCCCCAGTAGCGATGGTGGTGATCAGACAAATTGATAGACGCACGAATTAATGGTCACGGTCAATTGGCTCAGGCTCGAAAGTTCGATGCTTGAAGAAAGTGTAGACGATGTGACCTATGAGGTGAGCGGTGTTGACCGCTAGGATGTCCGTCCGTGTGCCGCCGTGGCCAATGACCCCGTTGCGACACTGCTCCCGTGCTTGTCGCTCCACGCCGGAACCAGCCAGCCAATCGACTGATACCAGAGCATCGCCTTGATGATTCGAGTAATGTATGCCCGTCCCCCGTTGCTACGGTCTTAGGTCTCGTCCATACACGCCTGCGAGAGCTGAGCTGAGAGGGGCCGTGCTTTGTGACCTTGCATCCTGAGCCCACGTCTGTTCTGAGCCAAGAAGGCTCCTGAATACCTGGCAGCTTTGGCATATCAAACGAAACGGCCCAGTGAGGTAGGTCGGAGGTGTCACGATGGACAGTTCGTCGCTGCCGTCGCCGTCGATGGGCCCTACCGAGGTTGTAGGTCATACTTCTGCGGGTTTCACTCATGGGTCGGAAGGGCAGTTACCTTCGACGTCAACATCTCTGTCTCCACCAATATCGCGTGGTGCCAGCTTCAATACGATCACCTCCGCTCCTGCTGAGCATCAGTTGCATTCAACACATATCCCCTTGCCGTTAACATCGGCGCCGTCGTCCCACAGTCGCCGACGCATACCATTTCTACAGCAGACTTCAGTAAAAGCGTCGACCCCGCCCCTTTCCCCGATGCCGGGACGGCATGTGATTGTCAAATGCCCTTCGCCCGATGCCGTCAACCAGCCGATTCCAGACCAGGTGGTACCGATATCTCAGATAGCCAGCACGTCAGGTGCGCCTTGCATCGGTGATCTGAAAGCATACATTGCAGCTCAGTGGCCTGGCAGGCCGCTCACATCTGGTATGCGCTTCATACGTCATGGAAAAGTCTGTGCTGAAGAGGAGCTTTTGTTTCCTCCGGGGCCCTCATCATTGCAGGATGAACAGCAGCGACAAGATGGCGTGCCATTGCATCTTGTTATTCGCGCGGATGCTTGGACTGAAAGGGCATCCTTCTCGCCGTTCTCGCTGCAGCAAAGCGACAGCAGGGGTGGAAGCGGTAGCGCCGGGCGTCCAGCATTTTCACGGCATGCTAGCAGCCAGCTACGATTCGCTTCCCCTGAACAGCTAAGACTGCGCTCCTCTTTCCCTTCAAGGACCAACACCCCTGCCATCTCGAGATCTTCAAGTGTGCAAGGGCTACGATCGTCATTATATCACCCCAGGATGCACGATCACATGGCTTCGGGCCTGCCGCCTTTTAGTCTAGCCACCTCTCCCTCTGCCGTATCGCCGCAGCACATCGAAGACCGCCTCCGCGACTGGCTCTCGTGCGAGGCAATCGCTGTTGACCACCTGGCCACGAGGCCGTCAGCTGCAGGCCCAGTTCAAGGGATCTTGGGCGAAAACGACGAGCAAGTGAACCTGATCCGTGATCTCGCGATCTCCAGCTATTACCTTTGGCTGGAACACTACCAAGCCGTGTGGAACGAGATCTTCGGACAGACGGAGGAGGCCATCGCCAATATATACAGTGGCGACAACCAGTGCAAGCTCCGCCTTTCATTTACGAGAGATGTTGCTGCAGCCTGCGACTATTTTGAGACGCATGTGCTCAGTCTTGGGAGCGCGCCACGAAGACCTTCGTTTGCGACAAAGCAGACGGAAAACTTGCTAGAGCACAGAGAACTTGTTGTTGATGTTAGGTGAGCGTGCGCTGCAGATTCTCCGATACGGGACAAAGTAATGCTGACAGTGATTTCCCTTTGGAAGTGGCACACCGCATGCGCTGAGATACCCAGCGACAGAGTACTTCGATGCGAGAATCGCCTTTCTCTCGGATGTGCTCGCCACTCGAATCGAGCCACTCTCCACACTCTTGCGCCAGCTCGAAAGCTTTTCGGACGATCGCCGCCAAGCAGATTTACTTCGCGCTCTCTTGAACCACGCCCTGGCTGCTGGCGCGGCCGCGCAGCATCAACCAACATTAGGTACTGCCGCAGCCAATGCCGCGGAGCAAGTGGCCGGCGCCGTAATGGAAGAAGCGCGGGGCGCTCAGCGTACCTTGCAGCAAACCGCCGCTGTCTACCTCCTCGCTCTCGGTTCAGTTTTCTTCGCTATATTGCCCGCAGTCCTCTTCCTCGCTTTCCAGACTTCCATCATTTACATCATGTTCATCAAGGATGGAAATTGGCAGGGTTGGCAGAAGAAGATCGTCACTGCCCTGCTTGTTGTAGGTTTTGTGTGCAGGTCCTTTCTGCTTTACAAAAATGAGAGAGCCAGGATACAAAGGGGGCAGAATGGCCACAGGGCGCCACAGCTGAATGCTGGACACGCTGATGGCGGCCGAGACGCGGGGCAGCGAGCGGACGCGCGAGGCGAAGCGGGTGCTGCAGATGGTGCCGCTCCGGCAGTTCGGCCCGCCAGTGATAGAGAAGCGGGCGCAGCACAAGCGCAGCGCGATTCAGCAGCATCAGAAGCTGAGCTGGAAGAGCGGGACGCGAACCCACTCCTGCCACCAACTATACCGACTCGCTATACGGCACACAACCTGCTTGATTGGAACTGGTGGATTGAGCGTCTCGCATTCTGGGGACTGAACGAGGAGGATGCCGAGCTCGGCTTGCGATCCGCGCAACGTAACGACGCTCGCCTGCGCCCTGCCTCGCCATCTGTGCATCGACCACGATTCAGACTCGCACGTATCGCTAAGATTCTCAAGACCTTTTTGATTCTGCTGCTTGTCACGATGATACCGGATGTGGAGCAGCGCAGGCGTGTCGCGATTATCGACCGAGAGGACCTCATCAGACGTACAGCAAGCGAAGAACGCGAACGGAGGGAGCGCAATGCTGCACGCGAGGAGAGGCGGCGAAAGGAAGCCTCAGAAGCGAAGCTTGACGCCAGCGGCCCATCCGCAACAGACATTCCCTCTCCGACAGCATGTACAGCACATCAGATCCCCGCCAACCCCGAGGATGCACCTACTGTGCTCCGCTCGCCCTACACGCAAAGATTGCTGCGTGTAAGGCCGCGTGCACCCGTCCAGCGAAACGTCGCTGCCAACGCCGATGACGATGATGCGTGGGCGGAAGACGACTTCGGCTTCTTCTAGTCTCTCTTTGTTGTTACCTTCTGTTTGTTTAGTCCTGGATCGCGGAGGCCACAAACCATGTAGCATTTCAACAATCATTGTAAACGGCACAATCGCTCTCTGCAGCAGCATAGATTCAAATTACAGTCCAATCGACTCTAGCCACTGCGTCCTCGAAGGAAAATGGGCCATGTACCCCCAATCTTTCCCTTAACACTGTTTTAATCCACGAGATGTCGGGTTCCCGTTTCACGACCGGTGGCAGAAGTTCCTGCTGCAGGGGTAGCGGAGCACATCTCTGAGTTGAGTGCGGCGAAGACGCCGTTGCGAGGCAGTCTGGTGCAATAAGTTCTTCCGGCATCGAAGGGCGAGGGGCGCTGAATGCGAACGATTGTCGAAAGATGAAGTCGCCAGTGTCTTCGAATCTGGACTGCACTATTCTTCCAACTTTCGACTCTTCAGCAGGCGGATGAACTTGTATAGCTGGACAAGTGGCGATCGACTTCCGCCTTGGAGGACCAGCGTCTAAATGCCGGCCCAGGTCAAAGCTACGTCGCGTAAGTAGGCTCACGCGTGACAAACGCGAGAATGGCCTGTTTCCCGTGGTGGGGTCCGTAATACCTGGTACAACTCTCGAGCTTCGTCGACTTTGGGGCGGCATGGCCCTGAGGTTGGAGGAGTTGTAGATCTCGAATAGGGTATACGAGGACCAAGTCAGACCACGCGGAACGTTCACGTCGGGAGAGACGACTGCGCTGAACGTCAGCAGGTAGGCTTGTTCGTGAGAATGAGGCTTTAACAGTAAAAGAGGTTCCAAAGTAGGAACCAAGACAAGGCGAGCAACGAGAAACGCCGCAAGAGCTGGGCCAAAAGTGGCTTCCAGCCATGTCGTGGCCGTGCGACACATGAGAGAGGTGAGATCGATGTCGTGCTGCGCTTGCTGAACAAAATCGCATTGCTGCGCTGATTGTTTGTCTCCTCTTACTAGCTGCGGCGCCCATCCGCTGCACTCTTCTGTCCGCGCTGAGCTCTGCTGTAGCAGCTCCAAAAGAGAGCGGCTACCAATCGATGTGATCGCAGTCTGAAGCTGCTCAGGTGTGCCGACAGCCCCGAATGACTCGCTTCCGTCTGCCTTGGACAAGGTGCCAAGCTCGACCATTGGGAGCATGTGTCGGCGGATGGGGTCAACTGAGATCTCCAAGCCTGCTCTGAGCGATGACCGCGCAATCAGGATGCCAAGATAGCAGCTGCCTGGGCGAATCTGTCCTTTGGAGGGTCCATTGTCGAGAGCGAACGACGAGATGCTAGAGAGCAACTGAGCAGGCTCCGGCTGAAGGCCAATCTTGTCTGCCAGGCGACGACCCACCGGTCTTGGATCCGCAAAGAAGAAACCACGTTGCAAGGCAGATTCTAGTCCTGTGGTTGGCTCCACGATGCGCGTGAGAACCATCATTTGCCCTAGGGTGCCCGAACATCGACGACGCCTGTTGGGGTGGCCACTCTTCATCGGATCGGTCTCTGCGCGACCTAGATCCAGTACAGAGTGAAAGAGCAAACCAAGCTCCGCTCGCTCACTACCATCGCAGAACAGTTTTTCCGCCAACTCTTCAACCGCTTTAGTGAAAAGATCTTCAAAGCGCCTGTTGCCTCGAGAACATCGTAAAAGCACATCCGATTTGTAGCCTTGCGATGTCCCGCTCTGTTCCATAGGGCCTTCGTGGATTCGGCACGCGTCATTTGGCCATGTGCACTCGGATAGTCCACCGCCGAGAAGAAAATTGTTGAGATCGTTAATGAGACGTGCGTCAACAGTTTCAGGAGCGGCCGGGCGGAGCTTTGAAGACCTCGCCGTCGATAACGAGTCAGAGCGTGTCTTTGTGCCAGTGCACCCGAGAGAGGACTGTGTCCGCCAATCGACGGTTAAATGAACGCACCGCGCGAACACCGGTTGCAATGCGGAAATGGAAGTGATATCCTGAGCTGAAGGGGTTGGTTGATTTGACATAGTGGTCTTTTTACTCTGGCACCAAATAATGAAGCGAGCAGTGAGCGAAGGAGTAGCGCATGCATCTTGAGCAGGGCGTGGAAGGCTCGGTGACAGTGTCGGGGAAATCAAAGGAGCGTCCAGTTTGTTCAGACGGACCATTGGAACGACCCCATGGCTGTCAACCAGCACGTTGCCCTGCTTGTTGAAAAGGAAGACTGCAAGCATAAGGGGCGAAGCCTTGCGATGTTGAGACTGCTTTCTGCTCGATCGATGTGCAACCAAGCCGACGCAGATGAGGATGAATGCCAGTCCTACGGAAAGGCCGGCGGCCAGTTCGCTGACGAAGCCGCGGGCAAGCATCCCAGCCCTCCATCGACCAGGGTTCAAGAGGATATCGGCGAGTTGATCGGTCGTAAGATAGAATTGGGTGCCAAAACTCGCCGTGTAGTGCATCAGGCACGTGCCACCACTAAGCACAAAAGCCAGAGGAAGCCTAGCCCAGCTGTTATCGAGGAGTCGTGGCTTGAGAACTTCAAAGAGGAGGATGAAAGCCGCAACCACAGTAATTTCAGAGGCAAGAATGCCACAGATGACGTATGCTGCGATGTAATTGTATCGCAGGTAGAAGAATGACTTTTGTCCGGCATAGACTGCGAGAGATGAAAAGGTGTTCAGTTACCACCGAGAAATAGTGAGGAGCCCTGCTCTATGGAGAACTCACACATTCCGTTGATCGCAGCGCCGTTCAGGAGGCCGCTCACAGTCAAAAGAAGGATGCGACGCCGCTGGGATAGTGCGGATGAGGCCGAACTAGAGTCTTCGGTGCCTGTCCATGACACAGCTGTTCCTTCGCTTTCGTTTTCACTTTCAGCTACGATGGGTGAGGGAACCATGGTGGCAGCCGTGTCACATATTGACGGCGGCTGCCGCTCTGCATCGTGCTCGTTTCCTTCGATCATCCCTTCTTCGTAACGCCCCCGCCGTGATGAAGGAACCAGCGTGGAGATCGACCCATTCCATCGCTCTCTGAGCGCAGGGGAATGGATTTCATCGAGCTCCGACCGTGGATCAAGTGAAGAAAGCGGGTCTTCGTCTTGCTTCGTGGCCCGCCTTCCTGGCCTTAGGTTCAAGTCGGCTGCTGCTGACCAACGATCAGACTTTTTGAGGCACATGCCAGAAAATCGATCCCAACGAGGGTGAGCAGTGTTGATGCTCATCAAGGCGAAAGAGAGCATCGAGGCGCTGGCGGTCAGGATGAGTCCGATGATGAACCATGGCCCGACATAAAGACTTGTGTGGTAAAAACGGACCTGCGTTAGCGCTTCCATGTTTCGCTCGCAGGAACATCCCGCCAGCCCCACAACTCACAGTGGTAACAGCACGTCTTCTCGCATATGCAGCAGCTGCATCGCGGCGTCATGCGTCATGATCTTGAGGCCTGTCGGACCAAGGACTTGTTCGCCATCGTCCGTGAAAATGAATGCCTCTTGAAAGATGATTGGGAAAACGTCCTGCGGCAACGGGTCTGGAATGCCGAGATAGAGTGCGTTGTTGGCGATGAAATGCATCAGCCATGTTGCTCCTGCTCCAAAGGAGCAGCCTGCCGCGAGCAAGACGACCACGTTCCAGAAGCCGGTATTCCCTACTCGCGCTGAGAGCAATTCTAATGTGGTGATCGACCCATAAAGGGAGACAAGCAGCGACAAAATGATGCGCGTCGGGACATACGTTTTTGATAAAGACACGCCAATGGGTGCTGTCGCCACGGCCGTTGTTGGGTTCGTCACAAAAGGGACGAGAGCATGTCGTTGGGCTGAAGTGACACCTTGAGACGAGGCTGTGACGCCCGGGGGGAAGTTCCCATTACTCCGCTGCCAGTCCGAAGATGAGCCGGAACGCATTAGTGCGAGTATGATTGGCACCATACCGAGAACGAGAATGATGCGCAGAGCACTGTTCCACATTGGCCCTTGAAGCATGGCCCAGAGGCTTTTTGCGCGATAAGGCCATCGCTTCAATGAGGGCCGTGGGCGTTCTTCGTGGTCAATCGCATCGGAGGCGTTGGTCGAGTTGAAATGCACCTGTTCTGCCCACCGCTCAGTTGGTCTTGGCTCCCTGCTGTCGACAGGCGGCTCGGCTGGACCTGTTCCAACTGCGGTCGTGGGAAGGTTCAAGGCCAGGCCAAGAACAGGTCCGCCAACTTCTTTGACCTCTTGAAACCCGTGCTCGTTGTCGCACACCATGCTTTCCAGCCGTCGTCGTGGCCACCATATCCTCCATCGTCTATCTCTCGGTAGCGTGTGATAGGAAGGTGTCGACATCGTCGCTAGCGACCTGCAAATGAGCGCACCGCAGAGGAACGTTGTTCGGGCGCTCCTCAGCGAAGGCAGTCCAATTGACTAATTCCTTTCGCACGAGCCTCTGTTGTACGCTGGCAGGACTTGCCGATCATACTGAACCGAAAGATAAGGCAGGTCGAAGGGTTACGCTGCTTGAGAAGTTGGGAATCATTTTTTGGGATGGGGGATGAGTGTGACCCAGGAAGAGCTGACAAGCGTACTTGCTAGGATGTGAACGACTGGACCCAAACAAGGAGTGCTTCATATGCAAAGAAGCGTTAGTGGCAGTGTCATCGCTGGTGTCCGAGTTTGATCAAGCAGGCCATGCTTAGCGGAGTTCTCAAAGTCTAAAGCTCTCAAGCATGGACTTTGACCTGGTTACGCAAATGTTTCATAATCAGCTTGCTTGACCGAGTGAGTCCAAGGGTGGTGACGATTCAGGCGAGCGATCGCTTCGGGAGGAAATTTGTCGAGCTATACTTGCAATGATTGGGCGACAGCTGTCAATCGCTTGGACCCTCAACCAGACTTGGGTCAGCACGCATGTCAACGACAAGTTATGGAAAGCTCGGCCCAAACTTGGCTAATTTCCAGCCATGGAAAATGGCCAATTATCGAAAGCAGCATTGAGACCGCCGTTCCGACAAGATGCATGAGGTATGGCGACCATCCCCCAACCCTGATAAACTTTGGGGGCCAACGATTCAGCACAGGAGGCCTCTTGCGATGCTGTTTTTCCGTTCGAAGCTTCGCGGCAGACATGGGACGTATGTACAGTTAGCGAGCTAGTGAAATGCTTCTGGGATGCATGTTTGGTCATGAGCAGCAGCCGTTGACGACACTTGCAGTTCCTCCTTGGTCACCCTGCCAGTAAGCGACATCGCCATTTGCTTTTCGAAGATCTGTGTACCGCTTTAGAGCTGCCAAGGGAGTTGATGGCAGTCCTGACGAACTGGCAGGCTCAGGGATAAAAGCACAAGGCGTTACAAGCCTAAACTCCGCAGAAAGTTATCAATTGCAGCAAGTCGGCCGGTGGCTGCTTAGCAGCTGCCTGTCGCGGTCAGCACTATATGTGCAGACGGCCGCAGATGATCCAGCCCAGAAATTCGGTTCCGTTGGCGACACGGGAGAGATATGTCCGAACGCAATCTGTTGCTAAAGGAGTAAAAGGAGTAAAGACACCGCCGGCTTGCGCCTGGTCGTCGGACTGTTGTCGTTTGATCCATCCGCATCACGTCAAGCAATAGGATGCAGAGATGACTTTGACCGTTGGGGTGTCCTCGAAGCGGTGATAAAGTTCATCTACAAAATGCAACGAATGAATCTTCCCGTGACGCGTCCCTTTTCATGGTCACGTGCATGCGCTATGTTCCATTCTTTATTTTCCTTCTTTCGTTTTCTCCAGAATGGCATGGGATCCTTAACGATTACATACTTCATTTATGTTGGCTATTTAAAACAGGTCTGCGCACAGGGTAGACGCAAGTCTCTCCCAAACCCTAGATCCTGATTCCAATCTATAATTAAATAACAGGCGCAAGAAAATGGGGATTCCCAAGAGTTTATTGAGCCGGCTGAAATGTACGTAGTTCGTACGAGACTGCATTCTACTGCAGATTCGGTGTGAAATGGCGCGCTTTCTTCACCAAAACAAAAGAAAAACAGAAAAGTTCGTGATCCCAATGTTCTTAGGTGCTTCCATTTTTTAATGTACATTCAGTGAATAGTTGGCCGTCCAATGCTTGGCAGCAGCATGGTGGCGATAATTCATGCTGTATGCTCTGAGGCCGACACCGATGTGCGGCTCTGGCAAGCTGAGGACGACAGACATACCCTGCATCGTTGTCTGAGCGCTGGGAATTGCGCCAATGCCGGGCAGAAAGAAGAAAACGTCGCGACCGTCCGGGCCGGTGCATAGCGACTCGCTTCGGGCAGACATTGAGGCGCAACGTGTCGATGCGCAACCGGGCGACGACGGGTTTGACATCGCAGACGCTCTCCTAGCAAGTTTGGATGCACGGGACGCTGCATCTGCAGACAGGCAGAACAACGCTGAAGAATCTGAGGCTGCGAGTACAGCTTCAGATGGCAACCGACAAAGCGGGGACGCCTTATCCGTTTCAGGAGGGCCAGCTTCGCATGCTCAGGCGCAAGGACGTGCGAGCGGCACCTCCCTTTCTATCCCAAGCCAAGATACAGGCGGCTCCCTTTCTCCATCTACTAAATCTGAAGCCTCCAAGAACCCAGGTAAACGTATTTCTCAAGACCTCAAGGCCGCGTCAGGTAGATTTCTAGACGGAATTCGGAGTCACATCCATGCTGGCACTTCAGCTCCTCACGGCAATTATGCTAACTCCCAAGGGTGCGAAGGGTTATCGAGCGTTTTTCATGCACGAAGGAATAGTAATGCACCTTCGCCAAAATTCCAAGTTGGAGCGCTTCCGGTAGATGAGAGCTCTATAGCGAGTTCCGCTTCACCCTCGCTGCAGCAGTCAGGACTGGGGTCAACAGGCCGCAAGCCGAATCGTGCTAAAGTGCGGCTGGAGCGCCGTGCTGCAGCTTCCGAAGCAGCACGTCAAGAAGCCGAAATGGAGCTCAAATCAAATGGCGGGAAGCCTGACGAAGCGGCAATCGAGCGGCGTGGAATCGACGAGCTGTGCCGTGCCTTAGGAAGGGTAGTGCACGAAGTCGAGCCCGACGGTCATTGTCTGTATGCTGCTGTTGCAGACCAGCTGAACATCCTGCGAGGCCTGGTATCCATCACCCACGGCGCACGCCACGCTACAGGCGGAGATGCGGAAGCGCTCACGTACAAAGATACAAGGAGAGCCGCCGCAAAGGAGATGAGAGACAACCCTGATGACTTTATGCCTTTCATCTCAGACTCGGATGAGAAGATGGCTGGGATCTTCAATTCTGACACAGGGAAAGCCGGCAATGATAGTAAAGATGAGCAAGATAGTGAGTATGTGCAGGTGGTACTAGCCAAGCCTTAAAACTGAGATCAAAGTATGTTATCCTGACCTTGTTGCAATCCCTGCTCATTCCATCAGGAATTTACTTCTCTTATTGCGACGCAGTGGAGAACACGGGCGTCTGGGGTGGCCAGCCAGAAATTCTGGCGCTGTCACGCGCCTTCCGAACGCAGATCAAGGTAGTACAAGTCGGGTATCCAACGCTCAACGTTGGCGAGGGAGAGTATGGCAGCTCAGCGGGAGTCACCGGTGATTCAGCTGCGTATATCAGCTATCATCGCAGAATGTATGGGCTAGGAGAGGTGAGTCTTTGCAAGTTCACATTGCTGCTTATGCATGATCCCTGCTTTGCTGAGCGGTATTAACGCCACCACTTTGCACAGCACTATAACTCACTTCGAAAGAAAGCTTGAAGGCCACAGGTACCTGGGCGATCGATTGCAAAGATGGAATTTATATAGTGACACTTTCAGTGCCTAATAGTGCTTGGATAAATTCGACTGGCCCATTTCTAGTGCTTAGCTTCAAAAATGTTCAACATGAATATTGATCGATTGCATTGAGCATATCGTCTGTCGAGCATCGAGGTGTTGGTGAGAATCGAGTTGTGAGGCAGGTAGAATCTGGATGAAGCAACGTAATCAGACGTTGCTCCTTGTGAATTTGTTTACCTCCTTACTTTCATACTCTTGATCCCCTACAAGCCTTTCTTACACAGACATTGGGGTGCTGCACACGGTATCTCGTGCTGTCCGTGCGTTTCCTAACACTGTTGAGGTGCGTGGACTACCAGTCATGTCGCGACCATCCACCTCTGCGCAGCCTTTGAGCGCATCATCGGCATCAGCCTCCTCGCACACTCGCATCCTATCGTTGCTCGGTTCGACCCTTGTTGCTCTTTCAGCTGGGTCCAACTATGCATTCTCTTCCTTTGCGCCACAGCTGCAGGACATTGCACATCTCACTAGCACCCAGATCAACGTCGTCGGGTTGGCTGGAAATGCGGGTGTGTATTTAAGTGGGCCGCTTTGGGGGCGATGGGTAGACCGTAGGGGCCCGAAGAGGTGAGTTTTTTCCTAGACCTCAGCAGCGGCCCATCATAGACTGACAGCTGCTCGACTTGATGACTTCGTTAAGTGCCCTTATTTCCGGTGCAGTCATGGTGCTCGTTGGCTACTGGGGCCTCTCGCTCTCTTATCAATTGCCACAAGCAATGGAGGGCGAAGAGCCTGCGGACACAAAACTAGCGCCGCCGTCCACGCAGCACCCATTTTCATTCCCGGCCATCGTTTTTCTGAACCTCCTTACGGGTTTGGGAAACTCAGGAGCCTTCACCGCTGCGATGAATGCCCAAGCAAAGTCGTGGGGCGGGAATCGACGCGGCAGCGCAACGGCGCTGGTGCTCTCTGGGTTTGGCCTCAGCGCATTCGTCTATTCGTCCCTCAGTCACACCCTGTTTCCTGGAAATATGCAAGACTATCTGCTGCTGCTAGCGATCGGGAGCGTCGTAAGCTTCCTTATCGGTTTGGCTGTCATTCGCATCTTGCCACCTGCCGCCGAGGGGTCAGCACTCGCCGATGCGAATGGGGAACAGGAGGCAGATGGACCCTACCATCGCACATCGCTTGCACGAAGTCCATCGAGCACAGTGTCGTACTCTCGGAGGCGAACGAGCTCCGATCTCAGCGCGATCGCTTTCGCTCGAGCTGAGACCATGTTGGAGCAAGGCGATGCCGACGAGGATAGTGCCAACCACTTTGCGACGCAACGTAATGCCGACGTATGCCGCGGACATATCACTCGCACAACGCCAGCGTATGGTAACCGCGAAGACGTGGAGCCTGCGAGCCCGTCTGCGGGTCTGCTCTTCGAACCTGAGTCGTCGCGTCGTCGCCAGCCCGGCGCAAAGCGCAATCCCCAGCCTGGTGTGGCCCTCGATGTTACCGGGCTTGAACTCCTGAAGTGCATCGACTTTATACTGCTCTTTCTGATCATGGCGTTCATTTCGGGAGCTGGATTGCTTCTGATAAACAATGTTGGTACCATCACACGCACGTTGTGGCGATACAACCACAATCGGGGGACTGGGAACAAGGGAGCTGGGTGGCCGCTTAGTAGGTATGAAGCAATAGGCTCAGATCAGCTGGGTGCGCTAGCAAAAGACGACGCAGCGGTGGTCCAGCAATACCAAGCTCACCAAGTATCTGCCATCAGCATTGGCAATGCTCTGGGCCGGATCTTCATCGGTGCGTTGGACGCTCTGGTTGCGTCTTATTCCTTCCACTCCCACGGTCTGACTTGCCCTGCCCCTGTTCCCCTTTACAGGCCTAATGGCCGATTTGACTGTCAATCTGTCTGGTAATACGCGCCTACGAGTTTGGATGCTTCTATTCCCTTGCGGCCTTGCAATCCTCTCCCAGTCGCTCGCCGCCGCGCCGAACACTGTGACGTCCATCAAGATGCTTCTCGTCGTCTCTGGATCCACGGGGCTCATGTATGGCACGCTCTTTGGCATCTGTCCCAGTCTCAATCTGGAATTTTTTGGGTTGAAGAATTTTAGCCAAAATTGGGGCTACGTCAGCCTCAGCCCTGTTGTTGCTGGCAACGTCTTCAACCTTCTTTTTGGGCGGTAAGTGCAGGTGTTTAGCCGTTCTGGGCCGATAATCACTTGTAAACTGACCCTTTTCTCTTTGGTTCGGCACAGCATCTACGACTCACATGTCCCAAAGAAATCAGCGACGCACGAATGCGTAGACGGTGAAGAATGCTATCGGGCCGTTTTTGTGATCACCACCTGGTGCGCTGTCGCAGCTACTGTGTTGAGCCTGGTGCTGATCTACCGACGAGCAGGCAATCCAAACCAGGTCCGACGCTACGCACAGCGATAGAAGCACATTGACGCTCTCATGTCATCATGTATGTGTATTCACTGTAAAGCCTCATCGGCCCCAGCATAGCTGATGGCTGGGGTATAAAATAGAAGGAAGCCACGCGTCCTGCCTGAGCTCAGATTCAAAATGTATCATGATTGAGTCCTTGAGATTATTGTGAAGGACGAAAGGAACAGGTGACGATGCATTCAGTGCTGGGGCAACATGGGCGGTGACATCGGCATATCGACGAGCGTCTCCCGGTCCCCTCTGCGCACCCATGCTCAGCTA